CCTGCAGAGCTCATATGAGCGGCTAGATAGACGAGGTAAGGTTGAAGCGGGGAGGGCTCACCAGCTTCATGCCAACATCTCGCCAACGCCAGGCGTCGGTACCTTCTCGTTCCTCGATGCGTCCGAAAATCTTGGGCGGGAAGAACTTCTGACCCACTAACTGGGCGTAAGCGGTTCGCGTCATTTTGACACTACGAAGGGTGTTTGGGCGGGGTGGAAAGCGTATCATCCGGTGTGCAGCCTACATAAGTCCGTTTAAACATAATCAAGGATGGAAAAGTCGGTAATACTCACACGAAGCTGTATCGCGTCACGAGTGTAGAAAGTCTCGATAGGTTTTTGGATGAGCGAAGGATCGGCCAACAGGGCGCGTGCGATGTCAACAGGTAGCTGGACCTTGGTAATATGCATGTGGTTACGCGCAGCGCCAGGGTACCCGGAAATCCGCTGCCAGACCGCGACCTCAACCGCTTTTGGCGCAACGGTGTCCATAGTCGTGTCTCGCACGAGAGATAACGCGTCCTCGACAGCGATGTATTCATCATCCTTGTCATCTGCAATATCTCCTTCATCATCACTTTCTTTTGCGCCAGGTAATCTGCGCCTTCTTCTTGGCTTGTTGGGAGCAGAAACGTGCGAGAGGGGGACGAGGTGCAAGCGGCCGCTGTGTATCCATACCTACAGCGTAAGAGTGAAAGGGATCTTTTAGCTGGCGCATCTTACCGTTTATGAGGGAGGAAGGGTGCGCACCCTGTTGATTGCGTTTGAGGGGTTCACCCAGTTGGGCAAGGACTCGGCTGCTTCGATGAGCAGAAATTCACCATCTGAGTCGAAAACGCTGAAGAGAGTCGAGTTAGCTTGGTAGTGGACATCTAGAGTGGAAATACCTGATGACGACATCCCACTGCTTTGAGATTTCCTTGAGGAGCCAGACAACACACCATTCGTCATCGACACAGTCCCCGACACGCATACGGCCCTCGAGGACGTTCTTGTCCTCGCCCGTTCGTGCATCGGGATCGGGGACAATCTTAAGCTGGAATGGATCGCGGTGCCAGATGAAGTCGGGCAGAAGGTTTGGCACGATAGCATGGATGCATGCTGCGAGGGACGTACAGGAGGCTTTGTCGGCGAGCGCGACGGGCGGGTAGAGTGTATACTGAAGCGTATCCTCTGAGATTGAAGGAGGACGGTTAAAGATGTCCATCGCAAGTTTTAACTAGAATATTGGACTGCTAGATAGTGTTAGTAGTAGTACTTGTTAGTTGCTGATTAGATAGACGGACGAACTGGTGTTGGGTGATCGGCGCTGCTGTGTTTGTCAGCCACGAAGGTGAACTGCGATTACCATTCTTGGCGTCAGTCACCTCTAGCATGGCATCGCACACGTCCTTCAAGGACAGAAATCTAATCGCTGTCATTGGCGATGAAGTACGCGAAATGACCTCCTTATGTACTTCTGGATACTAACGTTGAACACAGGACTCGATCACTGGCCTTCTTCTAGCTGGCGTTGGTCACATTAACGAGCAGCAGAAGAAGAATTTCCTCATTGTCGATTCCAGTGAGCACAACAGTCAATTCATCCAAATATTACATCCTGTTAACTCCTCCGAAAGAGACCCAAATATCGACTATTGAATCGGCCTTCCAAGAATTCACAGAACGTAAGGATGTAGGAATACTGCTCATTAACCAGCATGTGCGCACCCTATCTTTCTCCTCCCGGTTAACCCTCAACGTGGGTGGCGCTAATGAAATGCGAATCACTATCTCTAGATCGCAGAGAAGATCAGACCTACTGTAGATCGATACCAGCAAGCATTCCCTACCCTCCTTGAGATTCCATCCAAGGACCACCCATACGGTAAGTTACTGCCGTTGCGTCCAAACTCCACATTGCTGACTGCATTGCGCCATATCGATTTCATACACAACACGCTTCCGTAGACCCTGCAAAGGATTCCGTTCTTAAACGCGTGCAGAAGCTTTTCGGAGAGTAGTAAATGCACTTCCCAGTCCATCCATGTACCTCATCGCCCGCGCACACACCCTGAAATCCTGCCACTCTCCACTCTGGATCTCCTCATTAAATGAAAACCCAACTCCCTTGCTGAGAACACGCAGCGTTTCATTGTTGTAATATACAATACATAAGAGCATGGTAGCTGTGCTTGAGCAAATCGTGCGGTAGATCACCCTATTATGAGGGCGAAAGGCGCGGCAGCGTGCTCATGAGGAATGGAACCGCATAATAGGCTCGTTCTCCCGAACGCCTGGTGTCCGTTCGACAAATACCCTGATCGGGTTACGGCTTTCTGAGTCTATGAAATCCAGATTGAAATGAGACCGTTCGCAATCGACAACGAAGGAGCAAAAAAAAAGTCAGCAAAATTTCCCTGCAAAACTCGAGATGAAACGTACTCGGTATGTCGATAAGGAGGTACCGGAACACGAAGTACCCTTCATCATTCTATCAAAAGATGTCGTCAGCATGTCACGCTCCTGTGTACACAAGACCAGACACAAGCACACGGACGGAGCACGGAGAAGATGCGTCATAGGGTATGTATGGGTGCGTACACTCCATTGCCACATTCGCGCCTCGCACCTTATAGTAGGGGATGGAAGCGAAAGCAGCTGACTTACCCTCACGAGATCCGCGTGCACCTCGCCTTCAGTCCAAGCTACGCTAGTATCACCGCTCCCCTCACCATGTGATCGCCGCCCTCGAAGACCAGCAAAGAGGCCCGTGAGCCCCCACAACGAGCCTTCTTCACCCTTTTCTTGCTCCTTGCCCTGGTCTTTCTCCGTCACTAGGGGAGAGACGGGTGAAGGGACTATGTCCCCACTCAGATACCGGAAGGCGCGCTTCGCCGAGTCAACAACGGGTGTCACCTTTGCCTTGACATCGTCCATCGTAAGAGCAGTTAGCGACTCGACATAGTCGGCCCATTGTATCTCCTCTTCATCCGTTGCCGCTGAGGCTGATGCCGACGCTGTGGAAGAGCCCTGGATGTAGAAGTTCAATAGCATGTGTTCGCGCCCCGACGAGTCCACTGCTATCTGCGATGCGACATGGCGGTGGCGATGACGTGGGCGTACAGAAGAAGGTGGATTATTGTGGAAAGTAAGCGGAGCATGAAGGTACTTTGCGACCTGACACCCGATCAATCAGTTAGTTGGCGGGCTCTGTTCCTCTAAGGAGTAGGATGTCGGAGACAAGACGTACTCGGGGTGAAGCCTTGATTCGCTCGCAGGCGTCGCTGTATAGCACAGTTGGCGAATTCTTGGAAAAGAGCTCGGAAGTGAGTGCGTATACGAGTACAGCCGAAAGTCCGGCGCCGAGTAGTATAACTGTCAAGTTCGTCGTGCGCTGTGTCGTTCGTATCACTACAATGACAAGGCACGGTAGTCAATAATCACTTTTCAACAAATCATATAGGCGCGGGGCAAGGGGAGAGAGCAAAGAAAGAGATATGTCATCAAAGTTGAACGATACGGACCCTTCCCACCGGTACTAAGCTCTGACCATTTCTTCACCTTCTCACCGCGCTTTAACGATCCCTGTGATATCCCAAGCTGGAACGGCCCAACAGAGTCCTCCCTGCTCATTTGGGAAGTGCGCTGTCTCTGATCCAGTGCCGAACTGAGCAAAGAAGAAGCTGCTGCATCTCGATGTGTTGCATATCCCCTAGAAGCCCTCCTTTCCACCGTCGAACCACTGTTCCGAGTACATTGTGTCAGTAGAGAGCGTGTCAGTGTTGATGAAAAGAAATGAGAGGTAGATGTGTGTGCACAGCGGAGGGAGCCCGATATACGAGCGAGCGGGAGGGTGGGGGACATTGGAGGCATGTGGAAAGATGCGTTTACCCGTTTTGGACGTGGGATCGGCGGGGCGGTGGCGGGTGCGTTTTGCTGTTCCAGGGTCAGCTCGCCCTGGGTCTGCTTACACTCGCGGCTGTCATACACGGCTCCGAAAACTCATCGTCATAGAAGGATTGGCAAACCAACATCGATTATTGGGAAAAATAGAGAAAAAGTAGTTGTAGAGATACAGTCACAAGAGCCCCCTTCACAATACTTCCTACACAACTATCCCAATCAGTACGAAGCACTTATGATCGCTCGCCACGGAGACGACGTGCGAGGGCAAGATCTTTGGGTTGGATGGTCACACGCTTAGCGTGGATAGCAGCCAAGTTGGTATCCTCGAAGAGGGACACCAGATATGCTTCAGCGGCTTCTTGAAGAGCCATGACTGCTGAGGACTGGAAGCGCAAATCGGTCTATAAGAACAAGGATGAGCACCATGTCCCAAGAAGCGAAAGATTATAATGTAGATGCAAAAAACAGGCGGAGGGAAGGAGAGGGAAAGTGGCACCGACCTTGAAGTCCTGTGCAATTTCACGGACAAGACGTTGGAAGGGGAGCTTCCGAATCAGAAGCTCCGTTGACTTTTGGTAGCGACGGATTTCACGAAGAGCGACGGTACCGGGGCGGAAACGATGGGGCTTCTTCACACCTCCTGCTGGAGCCTACGGGGCATGATGAGGGTGGTGCGCACAGATAGCGCAAATCAAATGGCTTACAGCGGCAGTCTTGCGAGCAGCCTTGGAAGCAAGTTGCTTACGGGGGGCTTTGCCTGATGGACGAAAGATGCTGAGCAACTGATCAAATAGGTGACGGTGGAGAACGTGCTTACCACCAGTGGTCTTGCGGGCAGTTTGTTTAGTGCGAGCCATTGTTTACGAGATGAATGAGATAGAGGAAGTGATAATTGGGAGTTGTTCAGGCCCCAGCAGTAAGTAAAGATGATGGATGTTAGAAACAAGCCTTGACGCTGATGTGCTTCCCTATTTATTGCTCGTATTTGTGGGCAATCAACAGCGCGTCGCGTCGCGTTGATTGCCCTCCACGTGACTCTAATGCGGACGTGTGGCATAATTCAGCACCGCCACCGCAGCCTACCAAACGTCTAAAAAATGAGGACAAAAGAATTCCCATTAGCCGACTTGAACGACTGACCTCGTCATTGCATACTAGTGACGCGCTCTACCAACTGAGCTAAACGGGATGATATGATTTTTGCAGGTTGTGCAACTAATACGGGAGATGTAATGGCGGGTTGGGGGTACCTGATTGCCAGCCTGCAAAGATCGATCGGTGCAGAAAATTCAAAATGCATGAAGGCCGCATCAATTCTATCGAACCGTTACTTACGGCCAGGCCTCCCATCAATCAAGCACAGAAAAAGGGGGCCAAAACAAATTCCCATTAGCCGACTTGAACGACTGACCTCGTCATTACTAGTGACGCGCTCTACCAACTGAGCTAAACGGGATGATAGCAGCGCTTCGCTTTCTACATTCAAGGGTGCGGCGACAATATGGTTGGTGAAGAGTCGGCTAAGTATCCATTGAGTTTCATAGATTGAGCAGTACATTCTACTTCCCAAATGTCTGAAGTCGTTCTACGACAGCCTTTTTCATCTGAGTGACATAAGTCGGTCAGACTTACTTTGGACAGTCTTGAAGAGATCTACTTACCGGGGGACTAATCCCTTGCCCTTCGAAGTATGCCAACACAAACTCCTCAGCGACCCAGTCGTTATTCACAGCGCCCAGATCCAAAAACACCAAGTTCCTTGGACGCTCTGGGTCTCCTGTCGGTGCTGTGAGGTGCACGTTTAGTGGGTAGCCCTTTGCGACAGCGGTGCTGGGGAAGATCGTTTTGAGCTTGCGTAAGGGAGCTTGAATGGCAAATTCGGTTTCAGGTGTGAGTGTTCCGCGAGATTTCGCAAGCTGGAGACGTGCGGTCAGAGCACGCATGAAGCCATCACGAAGATGGGAGTAGGAAGTATTGCGGGTAGGCACTGGACGAGGTTAGCTGAGAGATAGCCTAGCACTGGGTTGCATGATACACTCACCAATACGTATAACGCAGGAGGTGTTACGGACTATGTGGTCAATTTTCTCCTCAGCAGTGGCTGTGACTGGAATCTATCGCTACGGTGTTAGTACAGGTATACACATCTTAGATGTGGGCGAATGAAGGACAGACATTCAGCTTTGGGTTCGCAAGGTCAGCGTAGAACCCAACAGAGTAGACTTGTATTCCGAGGAAAGAGACCGTACGTACGCCCACTCCAACAAGGGAGTATTTGGGGAGGGGAAACCTGGACGGTATGCGAAGCTCCTTGGGGAACTCGATGGACGTTGCAGGGTCAACTTAAGTTCGAACCAGCGGTCAACTCTAACCCGACGCGGACAACCATCATTCAAGTAAACTCACTTTCAACTTCCTCATTCACGGCCGGAGGAGGAGCGTCGAGATGGACTGTGGTGGTAGATTGCTGTAGCGCAAACGCAGCAGCAAACGTGGCGGCGGCACCCCATAGTAGGGGTTTAGCTAACGAGCGTGTTTGACGGGGTGCGGAATGGGAGAATTTACGCGCCCCAAGGGTGAACGAACGTGAGCACTGGGCTGCAGTTTTGAAGAGCGTCAGCGGCCGGAGTATTTGGGACATTGAACAGTGCCTCATCAGTGGTGTGTACCAAGTCTGTAGGTCCACAAACTAGTTAACAAACTTCCTCCTGGTCGATCGTTGTCTGTTGTTAGTAGCGGGTGGTCGCCGTCGTGTGTGCGCCGATTAATTGCTCCCGCCTGTTTGCCGTCCGCCACGTGCTACGGGGACAGGAGCACGGGATCTATCATCTGTGGCACTGTTCAGGCGTGAGTGACGCGTCTCGTCTGTATACTAGTTGTCTACAGCGGAAAGAGCCACTCAAATTCGAGATACGCAATCACTTGTAAAGGCGACGCGTCAGCTAATCTCATCAAATCAAGTCCGAAATATATAACTCAAGTCGTACGTCGAATCTGCTGCCTTCCACATTTCCCACTTCCCTCTCATTGCCTCTTCCTTGTCTTTATCTTGCAAACAAACGCATGGCTGCTCTCGACTTATCCAGTCTTGTCTCCGAGCTAGGGGGTGGCGACTTCTCTATTCAAGGCATACAAATGGATGAAGATGACCTTGATATCCTTGACTCGCCTGCCGAGGAGTTATCTGCTCTCACGGCAGAGCATTCCTCTTATGAGAAACAGAAAGCTAACCTCCAAGTTTATCTCGATGCGCTTCCTTACGAGTGCGAGTCTGTCGAGGAGATGCAGCAGAAGCTAGAGCTTATCATAGCCAAGCTCATCATATGCGCCGAGTCTAAGAACTGGTCCCTCCTTACTACCTGGGACGCGAAGCTTCAGTGGTACGTCACGTTCCCTCGATTAACTCAGGGGCACCAAGTATTCACCCCGCTCTAGCTGGATGCAGATGCGCTATCCAATGACAACGTCTACTCGTGCCAAACTCGTTAGATTCTATTACGAGCTGTGCCTCCTGCCTGGCTTAGACGTGCGCGTCATTCGTAACTGGGCGGACATGATCTCTCGTCTCCTTGGTAAGAATGTAAAGCGCAGGCTCGAATCCAAAGATCTGCAGCTCTCTTGGAGGCCCCTTTGGAGGGTTCTCTACAAAGAGTTGTTCCCGAAGAAGCGTCTGACACAGACCAAGTACGCCACACATGAAGTACTCCGTCCTAGCCCACCTGATACCCCCTAACAGTCGTAATTTGAACAATATCCTGCTCTATGTTGCAGAAAACTGCCGAAGCTACTTCCCCGCCAGTGATATTCCTGACATGCTCGACACTTTCTTGCCCATGTTTACCCCAGACGTGAGTTAGGGTGATCATATGTACTTTGTGGCCAGAATATATGCTCACTCCTTGATCAAGACGACTCTCACTATGATACCAGTCCTCACATCCTTCCTTCCCGCAACTCACCCACACCTCTACCTACCGTTAGTCTTCAAGCTCTGGGAGGCATTCAACTCCTTCTCAATGGACGATCGTTTCCTCGAAATGGCCGGGAATCTGGCGGAAGAACACGTTGCAGGTAAAGCTGGCCAATTTGGCGAGGAGGGCGGCGCTCAGTGGAAGGACGTTGGCATCTGGTCCGACGAAGAGTGGACCTTACTGGTTAGCAAAGGGTTCGAGTCTATGTGTAGGTTTTCAATGGTCTCGGTCTACAAGCCATGAATGATGCTCACATATGTGGTCATGCAGATGTCCCTGTTGGGAAGTCTAGGGTGTGTACCATGGCGTTGGCCTACATTTAGCATGTTTTCTGACTGTTTGCAGAACCCCAACATGACTTCCGCGCATGCGGATGCGTCATCCGTTCGCCAAGGATCGAAAATCAAGAAAGGCATCAGTCGCATCAGTCAGTCATTTGAACATTACATGCATTTACGCGCTCACGGATTTTGATATAAGATGCGCTCGCGAAGTTGTTTGTCTACTCAATGGCCATCGACAGTCCCGTTCGCGGCGACTCCGCAACAGCAACCCCTGCATCCCAAGGTGGACTGACAGGATATCTCGCAGGTTCGAAAGCGATGGACTCTCTTGACAGACTTATCACGAGCACGGAATCGTTCTTCCATCCCTCCAACTCTGGTCCATACACGATGCTGGTAGGTGCATCTCGTGCGTGCTCGTTCTTCTGCTCACATTCGTTTCAGCTCACGAACTTCCTCCAACGCTTGACGGTCGAGTTTGCTGATCGTTGGCTCGAGGAAGAGTTACCTTCTTGCAAGACCCCTGTTGTAAGCGCATGTGTGATTTTCCTATGACTTGTGATCGTTCATGCGATGTTTGCAGACCCATCGACTCACCCCTGCGATCCGTCGCGCATTTGTAACAACTCTGCGGACACCTGCCCTCCTAGCGATGTTTTCCAAGGATTCGCTGTCTCTCGGTATGATCCAAGGTGCTCTGCGCGTGATGGCGCAGCTTGAGCCCACGCTGATCATGCCTGAGCTGCTGGAGCGCGCGTATGGAGGGCTGGAAGTTGTCAACGAGACACACAGGACGACTGCTGTCCTCAAGATCCTCTCTGGCATCTCCCTACCCCTCGTTTCCGAGAATAAGTGGCGTGCTGGCCAGAAGCATCTTCTGCCCCTCCTCGAGCTGTGTATTCCGGGCATTGACTTGGTACGTCGGGTCTTGAAAGCGCCCCAGGTCGGTAGCTGATGGAGAAGGGCCACAGAACGACCCCAACAAGACTATATGCGCGACCTCGTTCATTGTTAGCGCGATCCAGCATGTGAAGGTCGGCGACATCTCGATGCACCATTCAGGTTTTGCACTTTCTGGCGATGCACCAGGTGAAAACCTCGTGGAGGTCGAGCACGAGGACATCCAGCTTCCTGAGGGTATCGAGATGAGCCCATTCGTCGCGCTCAGCAGGGAAGAAGAACGGGCACTTGTGCGAGAGAGCACAGCTGGCTTCGCAGGTAATTGAATACATATTCTTATCAGGCAGGTTAAAATCTCATGTGAACAGATTGGGTGACGTCGCTCTTCCGACGCGTTCTCGCTCTGTACGAGAACCTGCCCGAAGAAGGCGGTCGGAAGAAAACCACCGGAGGCAAAACCGAAGAGGTCGTGCTCAAATCCATAAAGAGCATGATTGACGTCGTCTGCCTACACCTCTCAGACCAGCTTTTCGACCTCGTACTGAATCTAGTCTATGACTATGCTACTACCAACGCCAAGTCGAACGCCGTGAGGGCATTTGGACAGCTCGTTGCATGCCTTGCACGTTCGAAGCCTCAACAGACGATCGACAAGTTTTTGCCTTTTTGTACCTCGCAGATCCAGGAAGAACTGAAGCATGGAGCTTCGAGTGTTCGGACAACATCGACGCATGAGACTGTTCCTTCTGATACGACACTTCATTGGAGTGAGCACTGCCTCCCTATTCGGAGCCTTTTTAATCTAAGTAACTTCCTCCCTCAGATATGGCGATCCTCCGGGGATGTCTGGGGTACGGGGGCCCTGCGGTGAGTCGATAATTTCCGCCGGATGTGGTGCATGATTCAATCTGATTCTGATGTGCTATTCGTAGTTATTGAAACAGAAGGAGACTGTTATTCAACTTTTGGGGCTCCTACTTGAGAAGACCAAGAGTGAACGAGGGTACTCTGGGACCGGAGTTATGGTATCCAGG